GCACAAGTCTTTGAACTGTGACGGAAAAACAGAGCACTTGTAGGAAACTCACGCCAACGTGGGGAAAACATGCAAACTCCATACAGAAACGCCACCTGATCCAGCCATAGGTCGAACCAGCGCCCTTCTTGCTGTAAGGCGACAGTTCTGACCACTGAGCCACCGCACTGCTCCAGTTTAAAGACTTAATTAGGTTAATTAAGGTTGTTTTGTAGTAAGGTTGGACAATATATAATTTGAGCATCAATATTGCAATGTGTGTCTCTGCAATAGTCACATCGCAGGATTAGATTGCTTATTCAAGATTAAAAGATAAAGATACTATTATTTTTTAATTATTAATGCAATCATGACCAGATTATTTTACATTTGATTGTTAAATACAATTAGGCTCTCCAAAAAACCTTTAAGCACTGTTTATTTAGCTTTTATTTTTGCTGTCATATTTATATTTGCTTGCAATTTATTATATTTTATGCAGACGCACTGCATAAAAATAAAGACTTGATATCGCAGTCGGCCTAAATGAATAAAAACCTTTACAGATAGTTATTCGAATCATCTGATGAAATTATATTCATATCGCAATATAGATCGCAGCACAATAAAATATCTCAATGTCAGGTTTTTCCAATATCGTGCAGCCATATTTTGTAGACTCTAGCTGTTTGTTTGTTTGTTTGTTTGTTTGTTTATAAATATGAAAATCAGACTTTCTCCAGAAGGGAAACAATTTTTAATCTCTTAACCATCCCTTTTAAATATTAGATAAACAATTCAAATCATGTAGTATTCAAGTTTATTTACATTCTTTAGTGAGAGACATGAATGTTTACAGCATTCAACATTTTTGTAAAGACAACTTAAGTTCATCCTAGATCATCACACTCTTTTGCACTGCTGATCTTGCTGAGCTCAGTGCATTGTTATTCCAAATGCTTTATTTTTCACTGAATCTAATGTCATGTGATTTGATGTTGTTTAATGCAGCCGTGTAGATTCGCGACGCAGTGTAAGCGAGCGGACTGCACTTTCTATCATCCAGCTGTAGCCGTGCCGCCCAGGAGTGCTCTGAAATGGACCAAAACACAGAGCAGGTACTGCAAACTCACGTTTATAATGTGTCTGTGAATCTGCTTGTTAAGCGTGACGTCACGTGAAGCGGCTTCCGAGTCCAAGCGCTATATCAAACTGTATGAGGAGACTCAACACATAGTAATAATAAACGTTTACAAAGCGATGTAATACTTTTGAAAGTCACGATCGCAATATATTTATATCCATGCCTACAATCCAATGGCCAACAAGTGATTCATTTTTATAAATTGTTAAAATAATTGGTGTCTTTAATGCAGCAAGTTTATATAAAATTTGCTTTAATGTGTGATAGGTGATACTAAAAGGCGGCCATGATCGAATATTTTCTAATTTCAAATGAGTAGCGGCAGACCCAGAACCAGTATTACATATGTCACGACTTAACAAGCGGATTAGGGCAGTGCAATATGATGATATATCATATGGACAAAATAATAGTAATTCATTTTATTTGTAAATGGCGCCTTTCAAGACACCCAAGGTCGCCTTACAATAAGCATCAGCAGACATGCTAAACAAATTAAACATTACTAAAAACAATCATTGAGTTAAAACACAATAGCGAATATAAAATAACATAATAAAAACATGATAAAAAAATTGTTAAGTAATAGCCTGCTTAAAAAGATGGGTCTTTAGACGTGATTTAAAGGTGTGAAGACTATCACTGCTCCTTAGATCTAGTGGAAGTGAGTTCCATAGCCGAGGAGCAAGAGCTGAAAGATCTGTCTCCCATTGTGCTCAATCGAGTGCGAGGTGGTACCAAGGTGAAGTTGTTGGCTGATCTAAGGGTACAAGAAGGGGTGTAGATAAGGAGAAGTTCAGTGAGATATTGAGGAGCGAGATTATGAAGTGCCTTGAAAGTTACAAGTAATATTTTAAAATCAATTCGATATTTTACTGGAAGCCAATGAAGCTGATAGAGGAGTGGTGTGATGTGCTCGTGAGATGGGGTCCTAGAGATGACACGAGCTGCATGGTTCTGAACCAGTTGGAGTTTATGGAGAAGTTTGGAAGGAAGTCCAGAAAGAAGTGCATTACAGTAGTCAAGACGTGAAGTAACTAATGCGTGGAGAAGAATTGCTGTTATTAGTTGTGAGAGAAGGGCGGAGACGAGTGATATTACGCAGGTGAAAATATGCTGTACGTGTAATATTATTAATGTGACCTTCAAATGAGAGTGTGCTATCCAAGATGACACCCAAACTCTTAACCTGCACGGAGGGAAAAATTGTACTGTTATCAATGTCTATAGTGAAATTATTATACTTTTAGTGCCGATGAGAAGGGCTTCAGTTTTGTCGCTGTTTAATTTTTAAAAGTTAGCTGAAAGCCAGATTTTTATTTCAGCTAAACATCTGCTCAAAGCAGGAGGAGGAAAAGAACAGGAGGGCTTGGTGGACAGGTAGAGTTGAGTGTCGTCAGCATAACAGTGAAATTGTATGTTGTATTTTCTGAAAATGTGACCAAGAGGCAGTAGATATATGATAAACAGGAGTGGACCCAGTACAGAACCCTGTGGGACACCAGTAGTGACAATCTGCGATCTTGACTTAAAATCTTTAATTTGAACAAACTGAGTACGATCTGCAAGATATGATAAAATAAAATGTATATTTTGTATAATTATATGGTATATAATTTCATATTATGCTTTTTTATAATTTACATGAACACATTATATTACATGCCATTACGGGGATGCTGAAAGAAACATGAGAAAGTTGCAATCTAAAAAGTAGTTTTTAAATTTTATTTAGTGATATTCTTTTATATTGGACCTGTAATTATTAGTTTTTGAAGTGTTTAATATTGTATTAATATTTATTTTATATTTTAACAATCGCCCTGAAGTCCTAAATAAAGTGAGGAATATGATCACATATAGATGAGTACATTTCTAAGTTTATACTTTAAAATGTAAAAAAAAAAAAAAAAATTGGTCCTAAACAAACTATCAACTGAATGAATTTACAGAAATGGTACTATATCGTGTTCAGAGTTGAGTGTAACGCATTACTGTGCATTCACACTGAAGGCGGTGAGAGCGTCAAAGGTCGCTCTGGCTGCCCTGGCGACAACGCTGTCTGCTTTCAGCTCCGGCGGCGAAAGCTTCAAAATTCACTACACTGATCTCACATTGAAAGGGGTCGCTGCGGCATATCAGCAAATCAGTTACTTTCCCGCATAAAAACATGCTTTCTTGTGTGAAAATGTTGCGCACTTTTTATCAAATTCATTTAACAATAGAAGATCAGGTGTGATGTGGTGTGTGGCTTTGCTCCACTTAATTATCCTGTGTCCATATGTCTAAAATATCCTGTTATACTGTATGTGTACTGTTTTGTATTGTTGCATGAGATTCACGCTTTTTTAAAGAAAAAAAAACATTTTTTTATAAAACATTAATGCACATCAGTAACTCGCCAGTAACTTGTTTAATGTTTGTTCCTGTAAGAAATAATTGGAAATCTGCTGACGGCAATAATCAAACCCTTGGGAATAACTGTAGTTGGAACCAAAGGCCACAGATCTGTGTTCTCTGGTTTCCTCTCAAGCGGTGGACTTCTACATTCTGATTACTTGTCGGTGAACCGCGTCATAGCTCATTACCAAAAAGTCGACTTAATTTCAACTCTCCTCGATGCCCACACTGGCGATGACACGCAGCGCTGCTCCTCTCCGCAGGCTCCCATTAATAATGAATGATTTCTGACTACTTTCACGCTCTCGCTGGGTGAATGTAGATCAGTATTTTTGGGAAATGCAGTAATGTAATAAATTACATTTTAAATGTGTGTAATTAGATTACAGTTACTGAAGTCAATGTAGTTGTGTTACTTTCGTTACAAATATAGTTTTCAGAAGAATTTTTTTTTTCTTTTAAATAAAATTCTATGTCCAGTCTCTAAAGAACTTTCGACGGCTTTTAACTTGCCCAGCGACTTCTTAAAGCACTCTATGACAACTACTCATCGGCAAGGAGGACACGGGCATCCAAAAACGCGGCGGTCCAACTCAGCCCAAACAGGCTATGTTGATTTTTTTGTGCAGGATTGGGAATGAAGGTATCTTCAGAATGTGAAAAGAAGCATAGATGCTTATGGGGCTGTTCGCATATCGCGCATACTGGGAGAGCTCGCATTTAAGTTGCGCATCCAGACACGTGACAAAAACTGACCAATCAGCTTTATGCTTTGTATGGAATATACACATTTCACCTCAGACAAACACAGAATACCCAAACACCGCAGTGCTTTTGCATACCATGGATGTCAGTGGTTACAGGTATTCAAAAAAATAAAATAAAAAAAGACACACATGCTTAGAACAAGTGAATGGCGAGAGAATTTTAAGTATTGGACAAACTAAGTCTTTTGAATGGGTCAAGCTGCTCTGATCAACTAATTGCAATGTTTTTACGTGATTATTAAATGACTGAAAGAGCTGCAGTTTATTTTGTATTGATATTTTATATGTTTTAAAAGTTCAAAGTAAAGTAATTAGTAATCCGATTACTTTTTACATTAAGTAATTAATGTAATTAGATTAAAATTTTTCAGTAGTTGTCAGTAATTTGTAATCTATTACTTTTTAAAAGTAACTAACCCAACATTGATCTTGTTATATATCGTTATCGTGATATGAGACTGTCATCTTGCTCAGCCCTATTGTGAATCAGCATTTCTTCTTTTCTTTTTCCCGCAGTTGAGAAACACTCCAGCGACTGATCGGCAGAGTTTCTACGGTTCATGCGGAGCTTCCCGTATCTTTCCTGACATCTTTTTTGCTTAAGTGTTTGATTTTATTTTTAAAACAACTTGTTTTTTTAAATCACAACTTTCTGTAAACTGTTTCCAGAATATATTTGGTGTATTAAATAATACACACACTCACACACACAAAATGAATGTTGTCTTTACTGAATTCGCAAATCTCAGATGTTTTGAATGCCAGACGTCTTTATTTTGCAGTCTAAAGTTCGTGATCTTCAGGATGGTAAAGTTCACTCATTAAACGGTAAATGTAGGACGGCGCGTGTCCACCGATGTTGGAGATGAACAGCGTGATGAGCTCAGGAGGAACGTAGTCAAACACCGGACAGTGAGCGTTGACTTTAGACAAGATTTCACCTGGAGGGAAGAAAAAATAAATGATGCTAGTATTCAACCCAAAGTGACATTTAAAAGCTTAACTAGGTTAATTAGGCAAGCTGGGTAATTAGGCAAGTTTGTATAATAATGGTTTGTTTTGTAGACAATTGAAAAAATATATTGCTTAAGGGGGCTAATAATTTTAAAATATAAAATATTACTGGAAATACTGTGAAAAATTTCTTGCTCTGTTTAACATCATTTGGGAAATATTTGAAAAAGAAATGAACAGGAGAGTGAATAATTGACTTCAACTGTATAGCTACTGCAAAAACAGACCACTTGGGGCTGCTCGATTTTGGGAAAAATCATAATCACAATTATTTTGGTCATAATTGTAATGATGATTTTTCTAAATGATTATCAGTTTAGTTCAAAATTATTAGCGCTTCTGAGAATTTTTTTTTAAATAAATATTTCCCAAATTATGTTTAACAGCAAGAAATTTTCACAGTATGTCTGATAATATTTTTTTCTTTTGCATAAAGTCATTTGTTTTATTTTGGCTAGAATAAAAGCAGGTTTAAATATTTTGAAACCTATTTTAATAGGTCAATATTATTAGCCCCCTTAAGCAATATATTTTTTGATTGTCTGCAGAAGAAACTACTGTTATACAATGACTTGCCTAATTAAGACTTTGAATCGCACTTTGAATCTGAATGCTTGTATTTTGAAAAATATCTAGTAAAATATTAAGTACTGTCATCAGCAAAAAGAAATCAGTTATTAAAAATGAGTTATTAAAACTATAATGTTCAGAAATAAGTTGATAAAAAACTTCTTTTCATTTAACAGAAATTGGGCAGGAAAAGGGTTGCTAATATTGAGGAGGGCTAATAATTCTGACTTTAACTGTATATATGTGCAATTATTTTCCTCCCTGTAAATAAGCACAGAGAAATAAATACAATAGAATAAAAATATAAAACAAACTGTACTTTAAGCATCTTCACTGTAAGAAAAACACTTTAGCTACAAAAGTCCTTCAGTCAAGAGCAGCGAGGGATTTTCTCCTTTTGTTGTTTGATTAATGATAAAAACAGGCGGCAGCAGGAATAGTCTCTTTAATGGTTTCTCTTTCATGAGTCTTTTGATTCTCAACTGGTTTGTTTATTACACAAATGAGAGTTAATAAAAATAATCACTAAACACCGCATTTTGACACCTATTTCACCATTAAAGCAATCACGTTAAGATGAGATGTGTGCCCTCTACTCGTGTGCAAATGAGACCAAATGCTGTCTTTTGCGCTTTTAAGAGCAACAGATGTGTACAACTGGAAAGGGGGCGGTAAATGATGCAATAATCGTTTATCTCGATTAATGGTTTAATGGTCATAATCGTTAGAAGCCAAAATCAAAATCGGATTTTCGATTAATTGCACAGCCCTAAGACCACTGGAAAATTCTCTTCTCTGAATTTACGATTTGTATTTAAAGACACGGTATGTAATTTTCACCACTAGAGGGTGTATGTTCACAACAAAGCTTTAATTATGCCACAGTCCACCGCTTCTGGTTCTTCAGCTCGTGATCACATGGGAAAGAAGCAGTCCCGTTTTATCAGACTAAAGGCATTTTAAATGCAATAAATATTTTGAAGACTGTCAATTTGTCAATTATGGTTGTGTGTTATTATTTTTTTGTAACTTTGTCCTATGCTGCCTGTCTTGACCAGTCCTCCCTGGTAGAAGATATTGCATCTCAATGGGGCATTCCTGGTTAAATAAATAAATAAATAAAAATAAATAAATAATTAAAGTTTATTTGTATAGCGCTTTTCACAATAATCATTCTAAAGCTTTACAAAGTGTTTTAAAAGCGCTATTACATTACAATCTAAATCCGAAAGAGTTTCTTAAAGTAACATTTTTACTATATTTAAGTAATATTTTTAAAATAGTCTCTTAAATTTTTCCCATAGCTCAGAACAAACGTTTTCCTCAAACACAAAGCAAATGTCCTTATTTTTAAAATGGTCTCTTAATATTAATTTTCCCATAGCTGTATCCGATTAGTATTAATTAATTAAAAACAATGATTACCTTCAGTAAAGGGAAGCACTTCATGCGGCGAAACAAACTTGTGGAAGGTGTCGTCTTCATTGGGAAACTACAAAAACAAACATGCCAAGTTAACCCTGGAAAATCTGCACGTGTGTGATCTGCTGTAGTTTCTGTATAGTGAGTGTTGAGGCCTGCAGACCTGCGGCGAGAGCTTGAACATGGGCGCGCAGACAATCAGAGGAGTGGAGTGGTGTTTGGCAGCCAGAGCCAGTGTGTGTGTGCCATTGACCGCCCGCAGGCCTCCGTTCGCCAGCACCGTCTGTGTGCCGATGATCACCTGCACAACGTGCATTTCAACAAAACAGAGTGAGCCACTGAATCAGGTATTCATTTACCACATCACAATAATCCATCAAACTAACTGAAGTCTCTATATATCACTTATATGGGAAGATCTTTCTAGTGGTTCTGTTGGGTTTATCAAGACGTTAAAGCTCCCATGAATGTGAAATAAAGTTTTTTGGATGTTGGTATCAGTATGTTAGTCTTAAGGATATCTATAAGCTAGTTTGCTACAAAACAGTGACGATATTCACATTTAGAAGATGTTATACACCTGATATAAACATTCAAAGCTTGCCGTTTGTCACTTAAATGGATCAATGATTTTTTCGTACCTCACCTCGTACTTTAGTTTCATCAAATCAATCAAATGTTCTCTAGTATCTGACATGCTCCGCCCCCTTCTCATTTGATGCCCTTTAACTCAACCACTCTCACTGGCAGAGCTGGGATAAAAACCAAACGCTATTGGCTGTTTTTTTTAAAGAGGGAGGAGCTACTCTATGTCCCACCTTCTCCATATTTCAGTTAAGATTGTCAAACATTAAATGAAAAGTGCACATTTCAGAGCACTTCGCAGGATTAATCTTTTATTTCACCTTATTGACTCGTGACATTACAGCAAAGATGGCGGCGTCTGGGATGACTGTTGTTTCGATGTCCTCTTTGGAAAGACTTGTGGCCATTTCATGCCCCTGATAGACAAAGAGGAGTTTAGGCAAGTTTAGATTTTTGTAGCACCTTCAAACTTATAGCACCAATTAATGCACTTGCTTAAAATAAATAAATAAAGGTATTTATAATGACATTAGCTTATTATAATTTAGCATTTTAAAAAGTGTAATGTACATGGAATGTATTAATAATTGAAATAGCAAGAAATTCTACTGCTATATAATAAATATTCTTCAGCAAAATTGGATGCAATAAACATTAATATAAAACTAGAATGAAAAGACATGATCATTGCATAGCATTAATTATAATAAAGCATCTATTAAAAATAGTCAAATGTACTTACTGATGACAACAGTAATATTATGGTATACATTATTAATATTAAACATTTTACAAAATATGCAGTATGGAGTATAACTTTTTCATTAAGCAGTTATTATATATTTAATAATTAATATTACATTTATTGATTATGTTTTGATGTTGAATTGCAGATTAATAATACTGAATATTAAATACTTTTACTTTTAATACTTTTAAATACTATATTTAATATTTTAAATGCTAATATATTAAATAATTATTAAACAATAATATTAATAATAATAACAACAAAAACAACAATGCAATGCTACATTTAATTTTAATTTAATGTAACTTAATATTTAAACATTAAATATTTTATTTATTTTTATATTATATAATTAATATATAAGTAGACTGTTGTCAGATGACAGTGTTCCACAATCATGGTTGCCTGTTAAAATGTATAATGTACTTAGAATATATTAATGAAATGATTAAAGTATACTGCTATTTATTAGGTATTATTCAGCAATATTGGATGCAAAAAATATTGATATAAAACTAGAATAAAAAGACATGATCATTGCATAGCATTATTATAATAAAGCATCTATTAAAAAATAGTCAAATGTATTTACTACTCATGACAACATTAATATTATGGTATACATTATTAATATTCAACATTTAACAATATATGCATGAGTATAAATAGTTTTTCAATTCACCAGTTATACATTTAATAATTGTATTATATTTATTGATTAATAATGAATTGCAGATTAACAATACTCACTGAATATTAAATACTTTATATTTAATATTTTAAATGCTTATATATTAAATATTTATTAGACAATGGTATTTATTAATAACAAAAACAATGCAATGCTACATTTAATTCTAATTTAATGTAACTTAATATTTAAAAATACATGTTAATATAAAATTTCATTTTAATATTATGTAGTTTTTATGTAGACTGTTGAATTATTGAATATTAAATACTTAAATGTTTACTATTTTTGCACTTTATAGTATTATATTAAATAATTATGAAAGAAAATAGCATTAATTTAATAATAATAACAATGCAATGCTGCATTTGAGTTTAATTACATTTAATATGTTATATTAAGTGTTATCAAATATTTTATATTAATATTTGAATATTATATAATTATTATAAAGTATATTGTTGTCCAATGACTGTTGTTCGCTCAGGGCTGCCTGTCGGTAACATCTAGAAGGGATACAGCTGCGGATACTTGCATCAATACAGCATAATTTCTGACACTGTGCAACAATAATACTATTTTTTGCATTGGGTTGGGGGTAGGCATTAATAAAATAAAATCCAATGAAAAATTGTAGGAATAATAATATAAATAATATTCAGTATAATTACTGATGTAACATTACTGTGTTGGTTGGATTTAGGGGTGAGTTAGGGGTAGGCGTTAATAAAATTCATTCATTCATAGTCCCTTTATTCATCAGGGGTCACAACAGTGGAATGAACCGCCAACTTATCCAACCTAGTACTGGGAAACACCCATACACTGTCACATTTAAACTTACACCCTCTGGCCAATTTAGCTTATTCAGTTCACCTGTAGCACATGTCTTTGGACTGTGGGGGAAACCGGAGCACCCAGAGGAAACCCAGGGAGAACATGCAAACTCCACACAGAAATGCCAACTGACCCAGCTGGGACTCGAGCCAGTGACTTTCTTGCTGTGAGGTGACAGTGCTAACACGAACAGTGTCACCCCTTAATAAAGTACAATTAATGGCCAATTTAATAATCATAATTCTTGTTAACTTCCGGCCACAGCTGTATCCCTTCTAGCAACAACAACCCTGCCGTTTTGCCAGTAATGTAAAAATTAACAGTGTTTTTCCAAAATGACCATGATAAACATGCACTCACTAGACAGAAAGGCGCACACTCGGCTACGATGACGTGGAACTTGCGTTTGCGCGCCGCGTCTTTCAGAAAAGCCTCCACAGTCCTGGAGCGGCCGATGGTCATGATCACCTCATTGGAGTGAATGTGCTCCAGCGCCTGCATGGAGATGTTGTCTGTGGTGCCCTCTGAAAACACAAATCACCACAATAACACTCGACATCAGCGCCACATTTACTTCAACATGGACCAACATCTCTGAGGAATATTTCCAGTACTCTATGCCACAAGGCTGTTCTGGCAAAAGAAGCTCCAACCTGGTACTAGTAAGGTGTACCTAATAAAGTGGCCGGTGAGTGTATAGTAAACTACAATGCACCATATATTACTGTAGTAAAAACTAAAGTACACTACTGTATTTCATACATTCATTCATTTTCTTGTCGGCTTAGTCCCTTTACTAATCCGGGGTCGCCACAGCGGAATGAACCGCCAACTTATTAAGCAAGTTTTTACGCAGCGAATGCTCTTCCAGTCGCAACCCATCTCTGGTAAAACTACTGCATTTATTACAGTTTATCAGTTCACTATAGGTAATACTACAGTATGCTATAGTGCTCATCAACAGAGTAAATAGTCTATTATGCACAGTATAATACACTTAGTATAGTACAAAAACACTATAGTATTTACTGTAAATCACTGCAGTGTTTTTTTTATGTGGGCTAAAACACAAAACCTCCCAAATATTAGGAGAATATATAGCCTCTCTATGGATCCTCACCCAGCTCTGTCAGCAGCTCATTGATGGCTTCGATGACGTTGGCTTTGAGGTGAGCGAAGTGCTGTCTGAAGTTGTCTTCACTGGATCCTCCAGACGTCAGCAGCTTGTGCAGAGATTCCTGTTGATCCGCCTCCTCGCTGCTGCCTCTGGACCTGAAGACAACATATCATCTCCAGCTCATCCACATGAAAAAAACAGTATGGTGATTTTTACATATTTTATTTATTAAATATTATGCAGGGTGGGCCATTTATATGTGTTGTTTTAATGAGTGGTCTAGCTGTGATTTTTGCAGATACTGCCTTAATATCTGACCTGGCATATTCTTCTCGAATGATCTTCAGCACCCTGCGGATCATGTTACCGACTGTGGTCTCAGATGGCTGAGCTGCTGTCATCCTCCTGCCCTCCTTCCGGATGATCTCCATCAGTTCACCTTAAAAGAGGAGGATCTGTCAAAAAACTTAAAACTAAATAATTAACAAGCATAAGATTTAAAAAGAACAAATAAATACATTAAAAAGACAAAAAAATTAAGTAAACTATGTAATTATATAATTATGCACTATATAAACTATATCTAAAGTGATTGTTCAAGCTTTTGTTCTCTCCAGACTGGATTACTGCAACTCTTTACTAGCGGGGCTTCCAGCTAACTCTATTAAGCCTCTTCAGCTTCTACAGAAGGCAGCAGCACGAGTGGTCTTTAATGAACCTAAAAGAGCACATGTCACTCCGCTGCTCATCCGTTTGCACTGGCTGCCAGTTGCTGATCGCATAAAATTCAAAGCGACTTCTGGCTGTGCTCCTTCTTATCTGCTCTCACTTCTGCAGATCTATGTGCCCTCCAGAAACTTGCGTTCTGTGAATGAACGTCGCCTCATGGTTCCATCCCAAAGGGGGAAGAAATCACTTTCGCGAACGCTCACGCTCAATCTGCCCAGTTGGTGGAATGAACTCCCTAACTGCATCAGAACGGCAGAGTTCACTCGCTGTCTTCAAGAAACAACTAAAAACTCAACTATTTAGTCTCCACTTCACTTCCTAATCTGCAATTGCCTCTCTGGCTCCACTGCTAACTGTACTACAAAATAATAATAATTAAAAAAAATAACTAATGTTTTGCTTCTTACACTTTACATACCTGAAACTTGCCTACAGCACTTATTCATTGCTGCTCTTAAAGTTGTGTAAAGTGCTTCCTTGTCCTCGTTTGTAAGTCGCTTTGGATAAAAACGTCTGCTAAATGTAAATGTAAATGATTCAAAAATCAAACAATGAACATCAAAATGCAAATTTAGACTAAAATAATTAGACTAATAATTAGATTTATTAAAATAATATGCAACTCTATTTGAAAGAAACACTGCAAATTAACTTGTAATAAAAAAACAATAAATAAGATGATCTTTTTACATAGAGTTATAAAAGCAGTTATACAATATAGAGTTATATTAAAAATTACAGGCGCAGTGGGTAGCGCTGTCGCCTCACAGCACGAAGGTCACTAGTTCGAGTCCCGGCTGGTTCAGTTGGCATTTCTGTGTGGAGTGACATTGTGCAGTTTGCTTGTTCTTCCCGTGTTGGCGTGGGTTTCCTCTGGGTGCTCCAGGTTTCCACCACAGTCCACAGACATGCACTATAGGTGAATTGAGTAAGCTAAATTGGCCGTCGTGTATGTCCTGGTCCTCCAGATTGGAGGTTCAGCATTGGGCTAATTGCCTCATAAAAACTACGTCACGAAACACCAATATAGTACGATATAACTTCGATATAAACGGCCCTCAGAGCAAGTATATATTAAAAATAGAGTTATATTTTATTAAAGTTATAATGACCTAAATCATGAAGATGATATTTAGATAATATTCAGATTTAGACAATAAAAAGTACGTAAATATAATATTAAGTGATTAAAACATTAAATCAATCCATTTATTAAATTAAGAAAAAAATGGTCATAAAATAAACCAGATATTTTTATTTTCATTAACTAACATAAGCAAATGTGAATAAATACTGTGGTAAGTGTATTGTTCATTATTTGTTCATGCTAGTAAATACATTAACTACTGAAACCTTATTGTAAAAGGTTATCAATATAATATAGCAGAGAAGTGATGAGTAAAATAATAATATAGCCGATTACAAACACATTAAATTATGAATTAACTAATTTAAATTGTGCGTTTTCTCTCTCTCTTACTAGATCAGGGTTGCCTAAACTGTTTCATATAAAAGGCCAAAAGCCAAATATCATTTAGAGTTGTGGGCCAAATGTAAATATGCCAAGCTATATTACATTAAAGTTGCTATGGGTCATTTACTAATGTATTTAATAATATTTAAAGTAAATAAAAACATTACTTTAAATCATATTAACTAAAGCAGTGTAACATTTAAAAGGATAAATCATTGCAATAAAAACATAAACATGAACATTTATAACACAGAGGAGTTCAATGCTGAGTACACTAGTCGAGCAGAATCTGCCTTTGCTTTGATCTGTCCTCTATCCGTCAGGTGACAGCATGTACATTCAAACGAAATCTGATTAACACAGACAGAAAGATGTGTGTGGCACCCAAACACTGAAAAGCTCTGCTGTAAAGCACATGCACATGTAAAACACAACATTCAAGAACAGGAAATGATGCAACTGTGGCCGTTCATCCAGCAAGCTCAGCATCGCTTGTGTTTTTAATGGAGAATGTCAGTAAATAAATAGATCAACTAATGGATCTTTATTGTAAAGAGTTACTGTAACCCACTCAAATTTTTGAGTATTAAATATTGTTTTATTTTGACATGTAATTAAGAGTTTCTTAATTAATTTTTTTTATTTGTCAGAATATATGTATTTATGTTTTATTTTCTTACCTTACCTAATGCACAACAATTGGGCATTTAAAAAAAAATTTATAGATGTATAAATTTACATTCAGAAGTTAATTTCTAAAAACCGGAATTGAGGTCAAGGGTGACTGACGTCACTTGTACGCCAGCTTGTGGTGAAGACAGGAGAGACACGTTTTGGCTGTCTTCTAATTTAATCCATCCTGCCAATTCTGCATAAAATTAATGTCCCAAATTGTTTTGCTGCATTAGGTAAGTTATATACATTCGGATTTCCTGCATATTTATTTTACTTTTCGATTTGTTTAGCTATATTGTATAGATGATGCATACTGTTCATGGATCGCTGTAAATGTACAAGTTTACCGTGTTCAATGTGTTTTACTCTGTTTTATATGTATATATTTTGAACATATTGTGAACTATTTTGTGAAAATGCTCTTAGTTGAAGTTAGCAATGTTATGTGAAGTTGTGAAGTTATATGAAGAGGGTGACTGACGTCACTTGTACGCCAGCTTGTGGTGAAGACAGGAGAGACACGTTTTGGCTGTCTTCTAATTTAATCCATCCTGCCAATTCTGCATAAAATTAATGTCCCAAATTGTTTTGCTGCATTAGCTAACTGACACTGGACTGTTCCATCGCGCCGCGGCCGCATTGGACTCGTGCAGGCAAGGGGAGTGGCTCGTTACATTCACTCCGTGAGGATTTCTGCCAATTTGGATGGACGCATGTCATCACTCAATCGTCGAGGATTTTCGTAGGAAACACATACACTGATTCACAGTCATTGAACTACGTTTTACATTACATTCAGGACTTTGAAGTTTCATATATATAAATATATGTTGAAATTGGGACGTTTAGACAACTGAAACTGTATTTTCCTACTTCTGTATAGTTTTATTTTTTTTTTCAAAAGGGGCTGAATTGCTGTCAACATATTGTATTTTATTTATTTAATTTTGTTTGTTTTGAATACTTGAGTATGTTTTTATAAGGGCTGAAAAGCAGTTCAGATACAGACCAGAAAATTTGCAATACAGCAAACTCAAAAAGTATTTTCTTGTGTTTGGGGTTTTTTTTATTTTTATTTGAGCAGTTGGAGATTATAGTATTAATAATATGTAAAATTTGACCACACCATTCATAAATATATTGTGTCGTTAAGTTGAGATATCCCGAACCCGAGATTTCAAGTAAATTGTGTTGAAATTTCATATATACTTTAGAAAGCTCAGACCCAGTAGATAATTTTCCCCTTTTCAGTAAATCAATTTCATAGGTGGGTTACATTACCATAATTTTTGGTCAAATTTACAATATTATTCATTTCACCAATAAATGTATTTAATTTTTATTCTAACAAACGTATTTGTAAGAGTGTATTTAAACTAAGTATTATATTAGCTTTTTATGTTCAGGGTAATGTTAGTGTTTTAAATGAAATACTGAATAGTGCAATATTTTTTACCACGATACTTTGAATATTCGGTCTGAAATCAGATCCAAGTATGACTTTAAACAACAGAAGCAGCACTATTTAATCGACTGTCAACAATGTTGTACTTTGATAGTCATTGGCTGCTAGAATGGGCAATTCGGAGACTGTATGAATGTGCGAATATAAAACTATCTGTGCCCCTATATCGCCAGGGCTCTGCTTCGGCCCCGGGCTCTCACTCACCTGCGCTGCTCCAGCGGGCCTGAGCGGTGATTCTGCGGAGTAAAGAGCTCGTTTCCCGGGCAGTCTCCACCGAGCCCCGTAGAGATCCTGACCCGCTGCCGCAGCGCTTTAGCTCGGACAGAAACGACTCGATACGCTCGGACAGCTCCGTCTCTTTATCCGCGCCCGGCATTTTGACTGGAGCCTCAGAAACGCGCAGATTCACGGCGAGTTTTAATCTCCTGACAGCTCGAACACGGGGAACCGCACAGAAAACTCCTCCGGGTCAGCAATGCATCTTCTTCTGTGTTTATAACAGCGCTTAGGACTGATGTAACAGCGCCACCAAGTGCAAAAAAGGTGGAGCTCAAGCTTAAGCTCCCCCTCTCTGGAGCTCACCTCTCCTCAAATGGCTCTGCAGCGAGCACCACTTGAAAAATTAAGATTCTGTTTACTTAACCCTTTGATGCACAAACTATAAAATAGATATAGAAAAAAATTAACCTAGACGGGTCACTTTAGACCCCTTTAGTGCATCAAAGGGGTAAACATGCATCATATACTCACATTTACATAGTCTATTTCTTCTGTTGAACACAAAATAAAAAAAATTTTGATGAGGAAACATCTAACTATTGACTTCAATTGTATTTGTTTTTTCTACGATTAAAGTTAATGGTTACAGGTTTTCAGCCTTCTTCAAAATATTTCCTTTAGAGTTCATCAGAATAAAGAGACTCCCGGTATGGAAATACACTGCCGATTAAAATTAGATTACTATAAACAATTGAACAATTCTGAAATAATGTCATCTTCACTGCTCAACAGTTGAAGGAGCTTTTGTCCCATCTATACCATGCTACCACAACACCTTTTCCACAGAATAACTAAGGCATTTCAACAAAAAAACATTATTTTGCAAAAATCGCATTGATCAAAATTAATGAACAACAATGACTGTAACATGGAAATCATTTTCTGAAGGTTAGAGCAGTCAGCAATTAGTCGGAAATGTACAGGCCCTGCTCTGAATGACTTTAGTGCATCTGCGGCCACAGGACAGCACTAGACTCTCACACTGCTCTGTGGTGTGATTTTGGTGCACTCTTCTTCCAGTATTCAGCACAGTTCGGTGACTGTAGTGGGTTTCTTGCCCATAACTTTACCAAAGATTTTCCAGAGGTTCTCTATTGGGTTGAGATCAGGACTCTGGGCAGGCCATGTCATTATTTCAATGTTTTTCAGTTTCAAGGAACTGCTTTACCCGTTTTGCTGTGTGACATGGAGCACTGTCCTGTATGAACACTGCGGGCTGATTGGGTGATGAAGCCTTATGTTGTTGAAGAAGGTTCTGATAAACACTGGCATTCACTCAGCCATGTAGCTGTATAAGAGACCCAAGTCCTGCTGCAGAAAACATGCCCCGACCCACGACACTTCCTCCTCCACTTTCACTGACTTTTTTCCACACTTTAGGTTCAGTCTTTCTCCAGTTTGTCGCCGAACATGTTTCTCATCATCGGACCCAAAAAAATTCAACTTGCTTTTCATCACTGAAGTGAACTTTGGACCAGTTCTCCTCTGTCCACACAACATGCTCCTCAGCACACCATAGTCTAGCCTTTTGATTCTTTCTGCTAATGAGTCCAAATGCTCTTAAACGTCGAGACGCTGTATGACGAGACAGATCTTTACCCGGTTCTGCGCTGAACTGGTGAGCAATTTCAGCTGCAGTGTGGAAATGATTGCCCATTGAGATCCTCTGCAGTATCCGGTCCTCCCTTGTATTTGTCTTCCATGGATGACCAGCCTTCTAGTGGGACTTGAATGAGTTTGTGATGTTGTAAAGATTCAATTTTCTTGAAATCACAGATTTGGAACGACCAACTTGTCTTGCTATGGCTGACAGGGTCATCCCTTTGGTCTTCAACTGGACAACCTGCTGCTGGAGGCTTTCAGTCACTTTAGAATGGCCACCATCTTGCAGAGTCAGTGAAACTGGAAGTTAGGCTGACAGGTTAATTAGGGGTTGACAGACTAGCACCATTAGCACTTTTATATAGGGGTGACTTCAGGTCAATTGGGACAGTTTTTGCATTAAAATGACCAAGGAAGGGTGTCAGAGAGACGCATTGGGTAGCACAATTGCCTCACAGCAAGAAGGTCGCTGGTTTGAGCCTCGGCTGGGTCAGACTGATTCTTGGCACACTTTTGGCCCATTAGTACCAATTAAGCATCGTGTCAACGCCACAGCCTGCCCGAGTATTGCTGCTGACCAAGTCTACCCCCGTATGACCACAGTGTATCCACCTTCTGATGGCTACTTCCAGCAGGATAACACAACATGTCATAAAGTACAAACCATCTCAGACTGATTTCTTGAACATAACATTGAGTTCACTGTACTCACTGGCTGCCACAGTCACCAGAGCTCAATCCAATAGAGCACCATTGGGATGTGGTGAAGCGGGAGATTAGAATCATGAATGTGCAGTCGAAAAATCTGCAGCAACTGCTTGATGCTATCATGTCAATATGGAGCAAAATCTCCAAATCGAAAATATTTCCAGCACCTTGTTGAATCTATGACATGAAGGATTAAAGCAGTTCTGAAGGCAAAAGGGGTCCAACCACGTACCTAATAAAGTGGCCGGTGAGTGTAATCCTCTGTTGCTGTTGTGTGTTGCTTCACTCATTAGTAACTGACAAACACAAAATACTTTACTAACAATTTTATTGAATTGACAAGCCAATTATATTATATTTCTTTCACCAAAATTAATCAGAAGAAAAACATTGCTGTTGAAAACTGAACACTGGAGCAAATAAAAATAAACCACTGGCAACAAATAATAATAAATCTTCCACCCAGGACGCATGTAACCTCTTTTCCATTAAAGCCTTTAAAAATAAGAATAAATCCAGAACTGAAAGTCTAGTCTGATCCGTCGAATACAGGCAGATTCTGGAACAAATCAAAAACTATTCACTAATGGAGCAGCGCTGATGCACCTTTAACCTCAGCTGCGGTTCTGCTGGATTGAGGAGAAACTAAGTGACTAAAAATCAACGAATAAAGATTTTAATTACAAACAATCTCCCCCATAAGCAAACTAAAACAGATGACGCCCCACAAAATAAAACCTGCTTAAAAAATTAGTACATTTCTCAAAGTCCGAATGATGAATGACACCTCGATGCTCTGATGCGCAATCGCTCTCTCTCTCTCTTCACTTGCAGTGATTGGGACTTCATTTTGTCAAAATGGCTTTGCATTTCCAAACACCAGTCTTGCAGAAATAATACAGACAGCTAAGCACATGAGAACTGTGACTAAAAGCTGACAAAATCATCCTTCCAAATAATAAGCTGAACTGATTACAGTAATTAATAACAAACATTCAGTGACCGACAGATGACCACAAGGGTTTCTCTCACAGTAGCGCATCTTTTATTATTTATAGGGGCTTGTGCTGTCATTTTCTATAAATACAACCAAAAAATATTGCAAAGCAAAAAAAATGGGTGTTTTCCAAATGATACTGAACAAGCTCGTATCAAAAATGTACACGCACTGAAAGACAATTTGGCCGCCAAGCATCAATCGCTTCCCAAATTTCCCTGATGCACGTCCACTGCCGATAAACTTCAGGCCGCCCGCGGTGAGTGGAATAAACCGCCGAGGCAAAGCAAATGTCAGGGGCCGGAGGTTCTGATGTCAGGAAGAAGTTCTGGGTCCCTGATTGTTCAGGCAGGTTTTTTTTTCACTCAATCAGCTTCTTGGCCTTGAAGAAGCGGCGCAGGTAGAAGACCTGCCACGTGGCCAGACCGATCAGACAGCACATGGAGAAGATGCTGAAGTACAGCACACGGGTGTTGGTGGACTCTGAGGAACACAACAGCACAAACAATCAGACAGGAGTTTATGACTAAGCAGAAAAATTTAGAGATGTGCCAACATTGCCTACGTTTACATGGACATCAGTAATCGAATTATTTGCCCTAATCCAGGGGTGTCCAAACTCAGTCTTGGAGGGCCGGTGTCCTGCATAGTTTAGCTCCAACTTCATTCAACACGCATACCTGGAAGTTTCTAGTATAGCTTGATTAGCTGGTTCAGGTGTGTTTGACTGGGGTTGGAACTAAACTCTGCAGGCCACCGGCCCTCCAGGACTGAGTTTGGACATGCCTGTAGGGATAGTATACAGTTTAACCACAAGAATGACCAGTCTGGTAGATAAAGAAGAGCTGGAGTCAGAAATTAAAATAAATAAATCAAGTTTACTGAAGAAAGAAGCCAGCAGAAGCCAGCTTCAACACTCGCAATGAGTTCCTAGGCCGCTCTGCTTATGCTGCGTTCACACCAGACGCGGAACGCACGTCAAGCGCGAGTGATTCACTTGTTAAATCAATGCAAACGCACGAATAGACATCTTGCAGCGTGATACGCACGAATGACGTGAATTGCGCCGGGCGAAATGAGCATTTTGCGCGTTTGACGTGCGAATCTCTCGAGTTCGAAAATCGGAACTTCAGCAGACATTCGCGCCGCGCTAACCAATCAGAAGCTTGCTCTTGTGGGGGCGTGATTGTGACGTAGAACCTGTTGATGGTGTCCCGGGGGAAATCCTCCAGGCGACACTGACAACAAGTCATCAGACTGGGCTTAGCTCAGTCAGAAGCACCGTTAAGAGCCTCCGTCATTCAGGTTAAGTTTCTGGAGGAGTTTATGAGCTCACAGAGCTGGATGCACCTCTATAAGCATGTAGTGGACTCAGACACTGTCCTAAACGTATCGACGCTGTTTATCATCCTTCAGAAAGCACATAAACACTGTTATTTTCTTCATAAAATCCATGTTAGCCATTTAGCAATGAAGCTACAGTCACCAGGCAGACAGAAGCCCTGCCACTCACGCGAATCCGCATCTGTTCTGAAGTGAATTTGACGCGCGAATGAAGCGAGTAAACTCAAATGTTCACGGATATTTATGCGAGAATATCGCGATTTATCCGCGTGTTCCATGTCTGGTGTGAACACAGCAATACAATCACCAATCAATAACAATTATACTCTCAAATAACGTCATTAACTGCGTCTTATTTTTCTCGGGATTGCTCCTGGTGCATCATTGATCAATCAACCTCACCCTGATATTTCTAGGTTTCCCGTCTGACTTTTGTGGCCACTACTATCTAATGGATCATTATTATAATGGTATTTGTTATTTTTATACAATTATTTCTT